TTATGCATTTTAATTTCACATCTCTTTCAAAAGGTGAGTGGCGTGTTTCAACCATTCTTTTGGACTCATGGTTGATCCTTGTGTTGGTCAGAGCTGTAACATCTTTCAAAGTTGCTTTTCTCTATAACATTACCATGTGTATGAGTCATTTGCCTGGTTCTTATTTCACTCTATGTAAGTTCATAAAATTTTTGCCATTTCATTTAAAATTGTCCATTTCATCATTTCTCATGCCCCAGTAATATTCTGTTATATTCATCTACCACAATTTCTTTATCCTAAATCTGACTCTGACTCTAACCTTTAGTTTCCAATTTTTTACTACCTTGAGAAGAGCTGCTATAAATGTTTTTGTACATGTAGATCCTTTTCATCTTTCTTTGATGTCTTTGGGGTATAAGCCTTGTAGTGGAATTCATTCACTCTTACTGGTAGTGATTAGTTCATATTAAGCCTCGTGACAAAATAAAGAATAAGAAAGAAGTCTGTGGCCAGAATTTCTGATGTAACACTTAACTCTTCTGTGCCAATCTTCAGACACTAAAATATGTAATAAGTGATGTAAATAGGTGAATGTTCAGGGCAATTCAGTGCTTCATTCACATACTGGAAGAGTCTTTAAATGGCAACAGGCAGTTGATTACAAATGTGTGTCTATGCATGTATACATTTTCTGGCAAGCAGTATTAATTTGTGTACTTTTGTACAGGAAAGGGCAAGTGCAAAAATTGGAAAAAATATATACTTTTACACATTATAGAAAGAATAATAGCAACCATAAATCATTAAAAGAATTGTGGCGGCCGTAGTTGAGTAGTTGCTGCCACATAAGCATACATCTCTCTTCTGTGCCTGCTTGATAATTTATAGTCAGTAGATTGAATAAAATTATATTTGTAGTCTCTATCAAGGAATCTTTAATGATTAATATATGCCTGGGAAATTGATTGTTGAGGAACTTAATAATAAAGGTGCATTTTGTGATATAATATGTCAAATCCTTTTTTTAAACAACAAGCAGCAGACAGTGGGATTTTGTAGTCTTTGTACATTTTGGTCAGTTTGGGAATTATGAAGTTATCTGCTGTGGAAAATTAATTTGTAAAAGTCTGTATTTCTCATACTTTGAAGGATACCTTTGATATAGATATAGAATTGCCATAAAATTTTTGTAGAGCTGAGAAAATAGGTATCTTTTCCTCTTTTGTATCCCTGAATGCCCTCAAAATGTGTTCCCTTTCTGTACATATTACACCACATATGCTTGGGTTACTCAACTGCTTTTCTCATCTTTGTCATTTTAAGACAGTCAATACTATTAGTGTTTCCAATAGACACATTGAACAGAAGTGCTGAATACTACATGAAATAACAGAAGCATAATAGCCTGCTAAGCAGGACTCACATCTTGTTAAATTAGCTTCCTTAAAACTTTGAGTACAGTAAAGATTCATCTTGGAGTGCAAATTAATGCAGTTGGGTTGCATTTGTGAAGGAGTTGGCATCTTCAAAAGGTTTAAGAAAGTAACTACTTAAATTCCCTTAGAAATCTTACCGGTATAGTCCTTTCTTGTTCTTGAATTGACATGCTAAAATGAACAGATTTTACAAATCATTGAACAGAGGGAGCATCAATGTAAGCATGCAGTTTTAAAATTGTGCTTCAGTATATGCTATGTCTAAAATAACTGGATCAGAATTATTGCTTAACAGATCATGTTATAAAATACAAAGATCCCTAAGGAAACTTCAAATTATATAAGTATCATTCTTCTATTATATATAATTTATGTAGTATAAGCAAAAAGATTTATAAAAATAATGCCTCCCTCAGGAATTTCTCAAATTCCCAATATTTCCCCATATCTACGTGCATGAGTGGAGGCAGTTTTAATTTTTTGCATCGACAGTGTTAAATGCTATGAATTATTATTGATAATGAGGAATGAGAAAGGGATAATTTTGAAGCTGTAATCAAAGCCATTTAGTGCTAGTTTAAAAATAGAAAAGTAGATCAGTGGAGCAGACTAGATAAATAAGAACCAGAAGCAATTAAAAGTAGAAGTCTGCTGTTTGATAAACCCAAGAATATTAAAATTTTGGGTGGAAGGTTTGACAGAAGCTGCTGAGAAAACTAGAAAGCAGTTTAACAGAAATTAGGTTTAGACCATGTATCATAATAAGCTCCATAAGCATGTACAACCTAAATAATGGTTACATCATATTTTTTAACAGAAAACTCAAGGAGGTACCTTTTACACCTATAACTTGAGGTAGAATTTGTAACCAGTTGGGGTGATAAAATATTGTATAAAATACAGAGTAGACAGTTTGAGTTATTTAAAAGGCTTTTTTTTTTTTTGTTAACAAAAGCAGTGTAGGTAGAATAAGAAGAGAAACTATCAACTGAAATGGGGGAGGGGGTTGAATCTTTGCATTAAGTATCAATAATAAGTCTGGTATCCAAAATATTGACACAAATGTAGACAATTAAGAGCCATTCTCTAATAAGAGGTCAAAGGATATGAACTAGATGCAAATTATTTGTGACCTTATGAAAACATCCTCCAAATTACTAATAATAAGAAATAGATATTAAAACAATCCTTCTCACAACTAACAAATTGGCAAAGCTGGAAAGAACCAGGAATAGTGTTGGAAAGGCTATGGGAATATATATTAATATATTGCTGGAGCTAAAATTGGGCTGTTATTTTGGGGAAAAGTTTGGAAGTATTTAAGAAAAGTCAAAAAGGGTTCATACCCTTTCACCCAGTAATTCGCTCACTAGTGAGCATGTACTCCAAGGATATCAAAGACAGAAGGAGAGATCCAATAGGTCACAATATTCATAACACTTTCTGTGGTAGCAAAGTACTGGAAACAGTGGATACCCATTAATTTGCGAATGACTGAACAAAATGATGTAAGAGTAATAGACAATTATACAGTATGAAATGATGAATAAGAAGAATTTTAGAGAAACAAGGGTAGTTCTTTGTGAACTGGTAACAGGGAAATGTAAGCGAAACCCAAAGAACAATATACACAATGACTACAGTAATATAAGTGGGAAAAAAACACTAAAAGGAAGCCAAACTGAGTAATTATACAATCTGATAATGGTTCAGAGAGAATAGTTAATAAAACATCTCTCTCCTTTCCGCAGAGAGGCAAAGACTAAGGAGGACAGACTATTGCATATGTTGTCAGAATATACAGATTACTTTCATTTAACTTTTTCTTTGTTATGAGGGAGAATTTATTTCTGGAGTTAATGGTAGTGAGGCAGTATATACCCAGAAATTTACTAAGATGTGGACATAGAAGTCTTATAAATTACTATATTTAAGAGCATTAGAAAAGGAGGCAGCTATGATGGAGTGGTGAACATGCTGAGCATGGAGTCAGGAGAACTAGATTCATATCCTGACTGACATTTTATAATCTGTATGATCTTGGGAAGGTAAATTCAACCCTCCGAGTCTCAGTTTCTTTGTAAATGGTGGTGATGATAGTTACACTACCTACTTAACAGGGTTGTTATGAAAAAAATTACTTTGAAATCCTTAACTGTAGAAATATGTTTGGGAACAATCTGGCAAGGAAGTTAATCACAGGCGATAGAGCCACAAAGGAGCATTAGAAATCATCTGGTCCAAATTTCTCATTTTAGGGATAAGAAAACTAAGGTCCAGAGGTTGGGACTTGCCCAAGGCTACACAGATATTCAGTAGAAGAGCTGGGATTACTACATACAGTTTTAGTAAAGAGAATGAAGGAAAGAGTGTAAAAAGTCCAATATATATTGAGCTCTAAGGAATTATAGAGGTAGTATGAGAGAATCACTTTCTGTATTAGATATATTCCTTAAAAATTTCTGTGCATGTTTGACACTTACTAGCTGTGTGACCTTAGGGAAGTCACTTGACCTTGACTGCCTCACGAAAAAGCAAAAAAAAAAAATTCCCGTGACTGAGATAAATACGCCTTGGACAACATAAAAACTGCTCTCTTGAATTATTTTAAGCAGTGTTTTGTATCCCCCACTACAGTCTTATTCTTATGCCTTGTAATGGGTGTAAAAGGGACTACTCATTGTCAAAGATATGCTAGTGAATTATAGTTTCTAGAAGATAATGGCCTATAGATATATGTCTCTTGCTTGTAGACCCCTGTACCCAAGTTCAGATGGGATTATCATCAAAGGGGTGATTACTGGGTGTTTTTTTTTCTGCAGTAAATGGCTAAAGACGGTGTTAGGATGTGGTAGAGTTGTGATCTGTGTTTGTAGATGAAGAAAATATCCACAATTATTCAGTTGCAGGTCTTTTGAGATAATATGCTATGTAATAAAGCTTAATAGTATCATAAATTTAGGGCTAGGAGAGGTGTGAGAGGTCATCTCATTCAGGTGAGGAAACAAACTGAGAGAAATGAAATGACCTGCCCAGGTCACAGATTAATTAAGCCAGAGGCAGGTTGTTCTCCTCTCTGTCTGTGTCATATAACCTAATCATCCTTGCTTTGAACAAAGGGTTTATTTCTAGGCTTTCTGGTTTGTTGTTTTAAATGTAATAAAGAGGTCAGGACTGTATAGCAAATTATTGATAGCCAAGGGGGGAAAGCAGATAACAAATTTGGAAGATTTTTTTTCCTTGATCAGTTTTCTTTGATAAAATAAAGGTACTTGTATTTTAGTCACATTGATTAATTAGTATAATCTTCTTGGGACAATTCTCCTCTGCTCTGTTTTTTTCCTCCCCTTACGCTTAACCTATTTGCTTCCTAATCTTGCACACATTTACCCTTTTTTTATACATTTATTATAGTGCCATGCAAATTGTAAGCATTAAATAAATGTTGGATTTACCTGGGCATTTGTTACATCGTACACATGCATATCATATATTATACACGTACGTTGAACATATTGTACAGTTTATAATGTTACTATTGACATTTGACTTAATCATAAGTCTCTCTTTCCTTACCTTCAGTTGACATCTGAAATGTTTGAAGCTGATCTTGAAAAGGCATTGTTGCTAAGCAAACTAGAATATGAAGAACACAAAAAGGTATTTACATTAATTCAGCTGCAGATTTTAGAAATGCATGTCTAATATTAAAGCGTTGGCCATCAGATTCTTAAGTTGAACTTTAAAATTTTGAGTCAGTTCTTTTATAACAAACTATTGTAGATGTTCTCATTCCTCCTAAGATGTTTAGAGAGAATGAAAAAAGGATGAATTGAACATTGTCTGTTTCTTTCAACATTGTTATTTTTAAATGAAGAAAAGAAATCTTTTACTTTTTTTTAAACTTTGTCTGCATTTTTAAATGAAGATGCGAAGTACTACACAATCAGTTTAATATAGGGACTTTAGAAAAGAGGGGAACCTTCTCTGCTGATGACCCCTTTAATTTGCAGTTAACAAAGGGCAAAGGAAACCATTTCTGACATTTTTGCCTTTGGGGCTCAGAATTTATAACTCTCACTGATCTTTAATATTAGACACTGTGTAGAGATGCTTCTTAGAGCTAATTTTTTTAAAGGAAGCTTTTAATGTGTACAGAAGTATTTTTAAAAAGAAGATTATTACTGATCAGCTTTGCTTAAATTAGAAAAAAATGCATTTCTCATTAAGTTGACCTAATTCTTCTAGGTTTTTTTTTTAAGGTTACCTTTATAAGTTTTTCTTTGAATACAGTTGACCTCCTAATAGCTTAGGGGGGCTTCTTATCCATTGCTTTTGCTGCTTGCTCTCCTTCTTACTTGCTTTTTTTTTTTTTTAATCCATTTACCTGCCCGTTCATCCTTGTATCCAGGACTAGGAAAAGAGGAAATTAAGTTCAATATAGATGATTTTTCTCTTTGGCATTTTAGAGAAAAAGGTTAAAGCTAGTAGTAAAAATGAAATTTGTTAAAAAAAAAATTTCTACTTTCATTTTCCTATCCTTTGTCCTACTAAATGTATTTACTGTAATACTTTTTGTAACTTTGATATTCAAATCTATGAAACATTTGCTAAAATAACACGAATAAGCTACTATAGCAATTTAAAATAGACTCAGATTTCCCTGAAAAGCTTCTAACTCCAATTAAGAAATAGAATTGGTAGAATATTGATTTCTTACTTTTAGATGAATAACTAAACATTGAAGTTGAAGCCTTAATTGTGTCATATGTGTGTGTTTATATATATATATATATATATAAAATATGTATTTCGTATACTAGTGAGTAAATGAATCTATAAAATATGGTCTTCCTAAGTCATTTTCATGATAGAACTGTAGGTCCAGTACTCAAATTCAGTGTTTGTAGTATGTGTAATAAGCTTTGCAGTAAAGGTCTCATTTATTGATGGCAGTGGATTTTGATAGGTAAGATGACAGTAAGGAAGGCAGTTTTTTAAGCAACAACTAGTTCAAAAGACTCAGCCATTAATTTTATAGAACTTACTATAAAAATGCATCTATATTTTATTGATTTGGGTGTTCCTGTATATGTACTGTTCCTATATACAGTTCCGGTATATCACAATCCATGTATGCTTATCCATTCTGTATGTCTTCTCCATATCCTTCCGTAAGTTCTCCGCAAAGGGTCTGCCCAATATGATGGAGGCTTTTCTTAATTTTTTGGTTTTATTTTTAAATTTAAACTACTTTTTTATTATAAACTTAATAAGTATTCACAAATGTGAACATTTCCACATACAATGAGAAACAAAAAGGATTGCATGTGAAACAGAAGTTTTGTTAACACAGTTTGAGATTTTTAAAAAGTGTTTATTAAATTTAATGCAACAAATCCATCCTTTTGGTGTTCTCCTCTGAACTTCTTTTACTTTTCTTGTGTATGTTTTTCATGTTTTATTGATGTTCTTCACTATATGTATTTTTTTGCATCTCTGTCACTACCCACTAATTCATCCATCTTCCCCAAAAGGAGCTTTTACCTGTAGCAAATAAGTGTATTCAAGCTAAGTGATGTTTGATAATGTATGTCTTGGGGTAGGTAGGTAGTGTAGTGGATGGATCACCAGCCCTAGAGTCAAGAGGACTTAAGTTCAAATCCGACTTCAGACAATTGTGACCCTCGGCAAGTCACTTAACCCAGATTGCTTCAAAAAAAAAAAAAGAAAGAAAGAAAGAAAAAAGATAATGTATGTCTCATTCTGTGCTCCCTGGCCATCACCTTTCTTCCAGAAAATGAGTGGTATGCTTCATCATCATTAGCCTTCTGAAGTCATGATTGGTCATTATATTGGTCAAAGGCCAGTATTCTTTTGAAATTGTTTTTCTTTACATTATTATAGTCATTGTGTAAATTGTTCTTTTGCCTTCCTCACTTTATCTTGATATTGAAGAAATCAATGAATGATTCATGCTGTCTACCTGTTTCTCCTTTAAGACACTGTATCAAGAAAAATACTTTTCTTTTATGCCAAATAATGCTTTGTGATTTTGGAGGATACTTTTTTTTTTCAGACAATGTATTTAAAAAAAACAATAACATTGTTGGAGTAGGAAAATTTATCTTGCAGTATTTTTCTTTCTCTTGGGAATGTAGGACTTTAGTGATAACCTAATTACAAATTGATGAATTGAATTTGAAAAGTAAAATTAGTGCATTTGTTTTTGTGCTTAATCCATCTCAGGAATATGAAAATGTTGAAAATGCTTCACCTCAATCAAAAGGTATGAATAAAAAAGAAAAAAGAAAGAATCATCAGGGGAAAGACAAACCACTCACAGTGTCACTGAAAGACTTTCAGTCGGAAGCAAATATAGGTATGCATTGTTTTATGTGAATTAAACATTCAGCGTTCAAAGTCTTGGTATTTTTAATTTCTTCTATGATTATTATATACTCTCCTGGATTACCCCAAAATATGAATTTTGTTTTCATATGAACTATTTACATTTTAGAAAACCAGTTTCCATATAAGCTAAAACCGATTTTGAAGTATTCAAATAATTTTAGTATTTATTTAAAAACAAGATGCTTTAATACATAATAGTATTTTTTTAAGTCTTTGATCTGTTCTCTTAAAAACCTTATTAAATGAAATTGAATAATGTGTTTATAAAATTTAATCTTGAGATATGTTTGTTTTTTTAATATTGAAACATGTTGCACTAGCCCAAAACAACTGTTAAATATTTCATCTTTGCTTATCAACTTCTTCCTGAAGTTGTCTTGGGATAGAACATACTAAGATAGCTAGTTTTAGAATAGAACTTACTAATAAAATCTCGTATGATATACCACCTTAATAGTGCTTAACTTTTGGCTAGTGAGTACAGAGGGTAATTGTATCACCCATTGTGGTTTTTAAGTCAAACCGAAAAAACCACATTATTTTTAATACAGGAAGTGGTAAACCCAGCATGAAAAAGATACTAGCAAATGTATTGTATTTATAAATAGAGAAATTTATTTATCTACTATTAACCTAGTCTTAAAACACAAGCATTTGTTCTGGCCTTGCTTATAATGTCACAGCAATAAACTCAGGGAAAAAATGTAGGATATTTCATAATATACCAGACTTCTAGTAAAAAGCATTATTTGCAGGCAGCACTCTGCTTGGGTGCTGAGGAAGGTACATCCCTCAAGGGGCATATAATCTGAGCATAATAAACCAGCACAGAGCAGTATGCCTCACAATATGCTGTGGTAAGTTCATTTGACAATTATAAAGCAAAGTTTTATGTGAATTTAAAGGTACATGGAAGAGGTCATTACCACCTAGGTGCTTCAACTAATTAACAAGCATTTATAAGGTGTTCACTGTGTGCCAGCACTGTAATAAGTGCTGATAGTGTAAATAAAGTAAAAAGTAGGGTCCCTGCCCTGAGGAACCTCATATTCTAAGGGAGGACACAACATATAAGCCGTTGTGTACATACAAGACATATCCAATGTAAATAGGAGATAATTCCAGAGAGAAGGCACCAGCAGGAGGCAAGGGAGGAAGGAAGACCAGGAAAGGCCTTTTGGAAAAAGTGGGGTTTGAGCTGAGTCTTAAAGGAAGTAAAAAATTCCAGGAAGCAGAGGTGAGGAGAAAGAGCGTTCCAAACATGGGGGACAGCCAGTGAAAAGGTACATAGTTGGGAGGTGAAGTGTCATGGGCAGGGAAGGCCGGTGTCCTTGGATCTTAGAATCTGTGGATTGGGGAGTAAAGAGTTAAAAGATTGGAATTGTACGAAAGGGCCAGGTTATGAAGGGCTTTGAATGCAGAGGATTTTTTATTTGGTCTTCAAAGTAGTATGATGCCAATAGAGTCTATTGAGTAAGTGGTGGGGGTAAGGTAAAGGGTTAATATTATTAGAATTGAGTTTGGGAGCTCATTTTGGCAGCTGAGGATGCCCTAGAATGGGAACTTGAGACGAGGAGACCAATCATCAGGCTGTTTCATTAGTTCAAACTTAAGGTAATGAGAACCTGCACCAGGGTGGTGGCTGTATAAGTGGAGAGAAAATAATGTATAGGAAGAATATTGTAGACACAACAAGACTTGGTGATAGATTAGATATGTCAAGTGAGTATGAGAGGATGATGCCTAGTTCGCCAGCCTGGGTCCCTGTGAAAGGTAATGATGCCCTCCACAGTAAATAAGGAAATTTGAAAGAGGGCACATTTTGTGGAAAAAATATTTGGTTCTGTGTTGGGCATGTTGAGTGATTATGCCTATGGAATATCCATTTCAGGATGTCAGAGAGAGTTGGTAATGTGAGACTTGAGGTCAGGGATGGTTATATATCTCTGAAAATCATCTGCTTAGATGTAATAATTGAGCTTGTGGGAACTGATGAGATCACCAAGGTAAAGAGAATAGGGCACGGGACAGAGCATTGAGAGACACATAGGGAAGATCTATGGGATGATAGCTAGCAGATACACAGTAGTCAGTCAGTAATCATTTATTAAGCAACTGCTATGTGCCAGGTAGGGCAGCTAGGTGACCCAGTGGACAGAGTGTTAGGTCTGGAGTCAGGAAAACTTGAGTTCAGATCCAGCCTCACTTACTAGCTCTGTGACCCTGGACAAGTCACTTAACCCTGTTTGTCTCAGTTTCCTCCTCTGTAAAGTGAGCTGGAGAAGGAAATGACAAACTACTTCCAGTATCTTTGTCAAGAAAACCCCAAATAGGGTCACGAAGAATTGATCATGACCAAAAAACATGTGCCAGGCACTGTGCTAGTAAGAACTGAGGATACAAAAAGAAGCAAAACACAGCCCCTGCTCTCCAAGAGCTCACAATCTAATAGAGAAGATAAAAGCAATAGAATTTCTTCAAATAAGTTACGTGTAGAATAAATAGGAAGGAAGGCATTAGAAATAAACAGGATTGGGAAAGGCTTCCTGTAGAAGATAAGATTTTAATTGGGACTTGAAGAAAGTCAAGGAAGCCAGTAGGCAGAGATGAGGAGTGAGAGCATTGCAAGCATGGGAGACAGAGAAATTTGCCAGGAGCTGAGAGTTGGAATATTTTGTTTATGGAACAGCAAGGGCTACAGTTTCACTGGAAAGGGAAGTTGGGGCAGGGGAAACATAATGAGTTTCATTTTGGACATGCTTAGTTTTAAATGTCTTCTAGACATCCATTTTGAGATGTCTGAAAGGCACGTGATGTGAGATTGGAGATCAGAAGAGTGATTAGGACAGGATAGGTAGGTTTGAAAATAATTAGCCCACAGATGGTAATTAAATTCATAGCAGTCAATGAGATCACCAAATGAAGTAGCATAGAAGGAGAAAAGAAAAGGGCCCAGTACAGAACCCTGAGGGATGCCTCTGGTTAGAAGGCATGCCTTGGATGAGGATCCAACAAAGGAGACAGAAGGAGTGGTCAGATAGGTAGGAGAACCAGGAGAAAGTGCTATCTGAAAAACCTAGAGAGAAGAGAGTATCACAGAGAGTGATCAACATTGTCAAAGGCTAGAGAGGCAAAGAAAAATTGAGGACTGAGAAAAGATCATTGGATTTGGCAACTAAGAAATCATTGGTAACTGGAAAGAATTGGTGGAATGATAATGTCAGAAGCCAGATTGTAAAAGGTTAAGAGAGTGAGAGAAGAGAAAGTAGAGGCACCTATGTAGATGGACTTTTCAGGGAGTTTAACTACAAAGGACAAAAGAGATAGAGGACAGCAGTTAGGAATAGAAGGACTAAGTGAATTTTTTGAGAATGAAAGAGACAAAGGCATGTTTGCAGGCAGTATGGAAGGAGCAAGTAAGACAGGAAGGATTGAAAATATCATTAGAGAGTGGGAATGACAAAGGATGCAGTCTATTGAAGGAGATGGGATGAGATAATTTGTACTAGTAGATGAGCTAGCCTTGGTAAGGAGTAAGGCCAGCTCGTTATATGAGACAGGAGTGAAGGAAGAGGGAGTATAGTAAGCACCTGATTGATATGGGATGAGGAAGAGGAGAGAAGAGATTTGGGGTTTTATTGGTAAAAATTTTTTCTGTGGAATATGGGAGAGGGAACCATGAGAGATTTGAAGATGGATGAAAAAATTTTGAAAAGCCACTATGGAGATTGGGATATTGATTTAATAAGGGAGGTGTAGTAGGATTGCTTAGCTACAGTGAGGGCCTAGTTGAGGTTGTCTATCATAAATTTGCAGACTCAAACGGAACACTTGTGTAATTTTCTGTACCTTCTTTCAGCAGCACCTGTGGGAGTGAAGTCCACAGATGTTGGGAGACACTCGATACTGAGGCTTGGCAATATGTGATCAGTGATACGTTAAGGGATCTAGAGAGTCAAGAAAAGATAACAATGTAGAGTTGCGCTGATTTACCAAGAGGTCAAAAAGGAGGAAGGAGGAGAAAGTAGCTAGTCCAGGCATGATGAGCTGGGAGAATTTTGGGGTGAAGGGATTGAAGGTCATGGTGTAGATAAAGGTCAGAGTTTGGTAAGGGAAGGCAGAAGGGAGAGGTGGAAAGCCAAGAGATTATGGTTAGATAAGAAGACTTCAGAATTATTGAATGTGAGGGGTGGTGCCTTTGTAGATGATAACAAGATTAAGGGTATGACTATCTTTGTGTGACTGAGGTTGGGTCTCCCGGAGGGGTAGGTCATGAGATGTGTGTAGATTGAAGAACTGAGTGGTTTGGGTGTTTGAGGGAAAGTGATCATGTATGTTGAATCAGCCCTGGTATGAGGGCAGGAATTGGGAAGGAGAGAAAAATTATGAATCCAGTACTAAACTCATTGAGGAAGGAACGGGAGTGACCTGGAGGTCGATAGACCACAGCTACTAGGATTTTGAATGGGTAATAGATATGAATATCATGAACTTAAAAAAAGAAGAGATTCCTGGTAACGTAGATAGTGGTAGAACCTAGAAATAGTATTGGGAAACAAGGAGTATTCCACGTTGCCTACCTCAACCAGTGAGCCCAGAGGAATGAGTAAAGGTGGAGCCAGGGAAAGCTGTGTCATCAGGGGGAAACTAGGTTTCAGTCATAGCTAGCAGATGGAAAGAATGGGAGAGGAAGAGAAGTAGGATAAAGTGAAGTTTGTTGCTTATTATATAGGCATTTCATGGGGCACAATGGAAGGGTGGGTAGTGTTTGGTTGTAATTTTGGGATGGGACTTCTGGATCACATTGAGCACTAAGATTGCGGACTAGACTTTTTCTCCAATCCCTGTGACCTCTCTAACTTCTCCAAAACAGAAATGATGCTCCAAGGATAAATTAACTTCAGCTGTTTAGGACACCCAGAATCCAAAAAGTTAAACCCAAAAAACCAGGAACTGACACTCACTTGATTGTGAGCTCACTAAGCATCCCTCCCCTATCTCCCCATGGTATTGGGATTGAAGCTTCACTAACAGACCCAAGGAAACTACACAGGCTTACAACAAAAACATCAAAATCCACCCTTACACTCTGGTTCCCCCTCCTCTTTCCAGTGCCATGGAGACCCAGGCTTCAGGCTATAGAGGTTTGCTCAGGCCTTGACAGCCATCTTGGTCTCAGCCCTTCAGTAACTAAAGCTTTCTGGGAACTGAAACCAGGAAATGCTAGCATTGTAAAGTACTACCAGTGCCTGGGAAATCAGGCTGTGATCTGCTGGTGCCTGACCAGAGAATTGAGAAACAGGAAATGGGACAGGTTAACAGAACAGGACATCACACACATGAGCGACTGTAGCAGTTCACCAAGTCTGAGAGAAAGAGCTCAGCATCCAACTGGGGCCAGTTCTGACCACCTGCAACTCATTTGGGGTACACACCTTGGTGTGTACTGTGAATTGTGTGAATGAACTGTGAATTGCCTAATGTGGGAGGATTCACTTTCTAGCCCGCAAGGAAACCACCACCAGAGGAAGTCAGAAACTGAGTGATGAGGAAAAGAAAAGGGGGGGAAGAGAGGGAGACTGAAAGTACTCAAGATTTTAGGAAGATCTTGACTATATAAACAGATAAATCAACAGGAAAAACAGTAACAACAGAAGAAATTATGGCCTCTAGACCTAGTAAAGAAGTTCAAGCATCTATGAATAAGTACTGCAAAATGAAGAAAAATGAGCAGATACTTGAAGAGACAGAAGACCGTGTGTAACATGAGAACATGGAACAACAACATGCTATTCATGAGTAGTTTAAAAGAGAAATGAGAATTATGAGAGCAGAATATATGTCCTACATAGCAAAAATAATGAGCAGAATAGAAAAACTTGAATTGTATCTTTACCAAAGGAACTTCAGGGTGGGAGGGTTAAGAGGAGTCGGAATAAGGAATTGCTTGGTAGGGGGTGGGGTTCAGACGATGACCTGTAGAGATTCAGAATCACTGGGCTTTATAGGGTATTACTCGGTGTAAGAAGATTCTTCATAGAGTCACAAGTCACTGCTCCTCAGGAGCCTGAAGACTGGACTGAGAGACAGTGGAACATAAGATAGAAGGCACACAAATCATCAGCTGAGAGGCCTCTTTCACTACTGAAGGCTGGAGATGAGGCAGAGAACTGTGCAGCAGAAGATGGGAGCCCATCTTCACTGATAACTCCTCTTTTTCTTCCCTCAAGTGACAACTGTAGGAGGAGAAGGAAGGCCTGAGTTCAAAGGGGCTGGTTGCTGTTCTTGTCACTGGAGGTTCTCTATATCTCGGTTGTGAGATCAGGGTGGCAGCAAGAAGTGGAAGTTGCCTTGTGCTGGCACAGATGGAAGTTATTCCTCTGGCCTTTAGCAGTTTTCACTTGGGACATGTGCAGCAGAAATGGAAGGCAAGAAGTCAGAAGAAGGTCTTGTTCCTTTTCACACCTGAGGCTGTAGATCAGGTGGGCACAGCAGGAAGTGGAAATAAGAACTAGTAAAGGATTTTTTAAGGATGAGGAAAACCTTGGTATGTTAGTAAGCAGAGTGGAAGAACCACTGGATGGAAAATCCTCCACTTTGGAGGACATAAATTGGTAAATCTCCAAGTATTTGAAAGCTGTCAAGTGAAAGAAAGATTAGACTTTTTTGCTCTCTCCTTTTCCTGCTCAGAAAGCAGAACTAAGGGCAATGAGTGGAAGTTGCAAAGAGAGACAAATTCAGGTGTTTTTATAAGGAAAAACTTCCTGATAGCTAATTGTTAGCTGTCCAATAGTAGAAAGCAGAATTAGTTTCCTTGGAACATTTGTTTGCAGGGGGAATGGGAGAGAAGCAGAGTTGAGACTAGACAAAACTTGTACTAGTGGTAATTTAGAAATAATTCCTGTAGTTATGGGATAGAATAGATAACCAGTAAAGTTCTTTCAAAATTGTAGATTGTGTGATTTATTTCTGCACTTGCTTTATTTTTTTATTCTGGGATCTGTACGTTTATTGGTATACCGAATTCCTAAGAAGGAAATTCTATTAATGCAACTTAAAGTATCAGGCACTGTATAATGTCTCAGATTCTGAACAGGACTGCTGCACTGTAGCACCTAGTGAAGATTTAGTGCTATTAGCTATACAGTTATTTTTTTTAATTCTGTAAAGTCATTGGTCTTTATTTTTATTTTATCTGTAAGTTCATTAATTTTAAGATTTGAGCCCAAAATCAATATTTTGAACTTTTTGGAATTTTCTCTCCATGATATTAGTGAATAAAAAGTATTTTTGAAACAGTTTGGTAATGTAACCATTAATAGTTGGCTTTTGGAGGAAGTTGACAAAAACTGTGATTTGATTTTTCTGATGTTTTCATTCCCTAGTAGTATAGTGCAGTGTAGCTTTATATGTGAGTGTGTGTGTGTGGAGACCTCTGATTTCATTGGGTATAGGGAACTCCTGGTGAGGAAATCCATTTCAGCAACTATTCTACAGCGTAGAATTAGAGAGTTATTTAGGGTACTGAATGGTTAATTGACATTCCTATTCCCAGGTTCCTATAACCAGTACATGTCAGAGGTAGGACTTTAGAAGTCTTTGATGACTAGTAGACCAGCTTTCTACTATGCCATGTTGCTTCTCTTGTAGCATTAGCTATCTCTATGCAGCTGGTGGAGAAGTAAATATAGTGCCAGGCCTAGAGTTAGGAAGACCTGAGTTCAAGTGCAGCTTCATACACTTAATAGCTATGTAACCCTCGGGCAAGTTATTTAACCTTTTTTTTGTTTCAGTTTCCTCATCTGTAAAGTGGTGTTAATAATAGTACCTACCTCCCAGAATAGCTGTGAGGATCAACTGAGATAATAATTGTAAAGCTCTTGGCACAGTGCCTTACATATAGTACATACTGTATAAATGGTAGCTATTATTATTATTGGTTTATTTTTTAATTTAAAAATAAAAATTTAAATTGATTTGAAGAGAGGGAAGTTTATTTAGGAAATTAATAATGTTATCTTGAGAAAAGAGAAAAACTGAAATATCTCTTAAAAACCGGTTTGAGATCAAACTTGCATTAATTCAGTTCAGCAAACATTTGTAAAGCAACTACAATGTGTTAGGTGCTGAGGATACAAAGATGAAAAACATGATCTTCGGTGTCTTCCAATAAGCATGACATAGAATAGATTAAGATAAAAGGAAAGAGAAGGAACCTAGATAGAGAATGTGAAAAAAAAAAAACAACTTAATCAGGAAAGTGTTAGAGAAACTGGCACCTGATGTAGGATTTGAAGGAAGGGAATTTCAGTAGACAGATGTGAAAGGAGGAGTTAGAGGAATGAGGAGTATCCTGGTTATATGTGTGAAGGTGGGAGAAGATACTTAGTGAATTCAGTTTGACTGCAACAGAACGTTCATGGAAGAGTTTATAAACTGGATGTAAGGGTAGGAAGGAGAAGGAAGTGTCAACTTTCATTAAAGCCTTGAACCTGAGTGACTATAAGAATGGTAGTGCTATCAACAAAATGAGGAAGGGACAAAAGGAGAGAAAGCCAAGTGTGAGAGAAAGAGGAGTGCAGTTTTGGACATAGTTCAAAGGGGCACAGGAGGTAGAGCGCCACCTCTGAAGTCAGGAGGATCTGCGTTCAAATGTGGCCTCAGACACTTAATAGCTGTATGGACCTGGGCAAGTCACTTAACCCTGTTTGCCTCAGCATTCTTATCTGTAAAATGAGCTGGAGAAGGAAATGGTAAACCTCTCCAGTTATTTCTGCCAAGAAAACCCCAAGTGGGGTCACAGAGTTGAACATGACTGAAACAACCCAACAACAACAGAAGAATTCAAAGGGAGCAAAGTGAACAGAGTTACAATGCAAAATTTTGGTGTGTCCCTAGATGTTTTTGGTGATGTCTCTAGACAGGTAGGAAATTCACTTTTGCGTAACTAAACCTATATGATGTTAATTTCTCTCTAATTTGGAAACCATTTAATCTTTAAAATGTAAATGTCCATTTTGTTTAGGGAATTATTATATTTTTTCTTTTTCTTTTACAGATCACCTTAGTAAAAAAACTGAGGTAAGTCTTAACTAGCTTTTGTCACAGGAAGTATTTTTCTTTTTTCTTTCTTTAAACTTTTAATATTTGATAATTTTGTGATATTACCAAATGAATCATTCATTAAATCATAGTGCTGTCTTGAATAGAACTAGCAACAGCTTTGAAGAGTTAAAAAGAATATGCTACATCTTAGTAAATATGCAAATTCATATTAATACAAAGTACCATCTGACAGCAGTCTTTTCTGTTTAGTCAGAACATACACACTTAAACACAACTCACTGGAAAAGGAAACTCACTAGGAAAGGAAAATGATAAATTTTATGTAGCCTTTTCAAACATACTGTACAGTCTCCATAGAAATGAAATTGTTTGGAAGTAAAATGTATGTCTGAAAGAAAATTTTGGAAGTTATGAAGCCAGTATGATTTTCACCATCTCAGATTAACATAATTTTCTATTCCAGAGAGCTATTTTATTGAGGTATGGCATAGTGCTTTGTTGTTTCCCTATAGCTTCTACAGACTTGGTAGGATTGGAGAGTACTACTCTTAGAAACTGTGCTCATGCTTTTAATTGAGGATAGTTTTATTTAAATAAGTTTGAATACTGAAAAAAATATCAGTGATCTTCTGAATTATTTTCAGGGAGATTATGTTATTACATTTCTACATATCTCTGTATAATATTACCAGTAGTCCTTATCGTTAGTATAGTCCCCATAGTCAGCACAAATAAGGAGTGATTTTATTATTAATGTACTTTGATTTCTGTCTGGAATAAATTTTTTTTTTATATTTCTTTTTTTACCTTGTTTAGATTATTAGGCCAAGGAAGAAAACTATAAATGATGATTATAAAACATTTTATAATTATATGTAATTATTATAAAAACACTTGTGGTTATAAAAGAACACCCAAAATTTAAAGCCTAATAATTTACCTTTTTAGCTAATCATAATTTTTAGAGCTGAGATAAAATCATACATAATTCTTTACAAGCTATTACATATCTTAGTTACCTAGATGTAATTTAAAATAATCACCTCCAGTGTTGATTCTCTTTGGAGATGGAAAATTTTGTGTATATGGAATTGGGTTATTATTTAACTTATTTTTAAGCTATTTTACAATTTGTATCACAATATCTCCCAAAATAAATCTTAATTGATATAGCCTGGAAAATAAGCAACTACCCACCGTGTTAGGCACAGGTGCTTATATTGAAGGTGAATATACCTATCCCTTGGCTATCCTTCCATTGTTTGCTAACTGAAATGTGTTCTAACAAAAAGAAAGTGGGCTGTTTAATAATAAAAATAACTTCTGTTAGATTCCTAATATGGTTGAGGGGTCAACTGAATAGTACAGTGGATAGAATGTTGGCCTTGGAGTCAGGAAGACTTATCTTCCTGAGTTCAAATCTGGCCTCAGACACTGAGTGTCTCAGTGAACCTGGGCAAGTCACTTGACCCTGTTTGCCTTAGTTTCTTCCTCTGTAAAAACAGCTGGAAAAAGAAATGACAAACTAGACCAGTAGCTTTACCAAGAAAACTCCAGATGGGGTCATGGAGAGTCAGATAGAACTGAAATCTGAACAAGAAGAAATATGATTGAAGGAACTTGGTACCTTTGAAAATTCACCCTTAATTCTCTTTTGTGAGACTATAGGAAATTAGTCAAAGGAAAAATTACATTTTTGCATATTTAATCATTTAAAATACACCATCAAGTTAAATTGATATATTTGGAGTTCTTAATTCTCTAGGACCTGAATGTTTAGATATCCATGGTACGTTATGCCCATTTCTTCAGAAATTTATCAAAGCTATTCTACATGTGCAGATGACTGTAACAAAGGGATATCACTGTTTTGTATCCTAAAACTGAACATATTGCTGTACTTTATTACCCCAGTCTGTATTATTGCAGCAGCTTCTTGGCTGAAGTTTCCCTCACTCCACGTGTTCCTCTATCTAGTTCATCCTATAAATTTCTGCCAGTTCTTCTTCAAGCAGTTTGGGTTTTTTTTGTTTTTTGTTTAACCATGTCACTTTCCTGCTTGGAAACCTTCAAAAGCTTCTTTTTGACCAATATACCAGATCTAAACTCCTTTACCTTACTTATAAGGCAGCTCATAATCTCTCCCTGCCATAACTACTCAGTCTATTTCCAAGTATTACTTTGTTTATACCCTTCCTATCAAGCTGGTTAGTCTGATCACTACTCTGCTTCCTCAGTTCTGGTCTGCCTTTTACTTTTGTTGTTTCCCTTCTCTGGCGTGACCTTTTCTTACCTTTCCACTATCTTAAATCCTGTTCCTCTCCTCAAAGTCCAACGTCTTCTGTGCACATTTCCCAGAACTCATTAATGCCCTTCTCCTTTGAATTTCTACAAGGAATGATCTGATAGGATTTTCCTTCTTGAAGAAAGGTGGACATTAAGATGGATAGGACAGTCTGGAGGATTTTCTCTTAAATATAAAGTTATTTAATCCCTTTTTTCAGCTGATATTATTAGGGTTTATTGTTAACATTGTTACAAATTGGGGTCTGCAAGTTCTGCATATGAGGACATGGTATATGTAGAAGAAATATAGAAAAGGACTTAAAAGAGGTGTATAGAAGGTATGGATGGGGTAACTTAAAGAATAAGAATGAAAAAGAAGAGTCCGTGAACGAGAAGGAGGAGGTAAGAAAGATTAGGCATAGTGCTATTTACTTTGACTAAAGACAGGGTTAGCTTTTTAAAAATTACTGTAATTTTAGTTTCATAAATACCTATCAGTTTCCCTTTAGGTAACAGTAAAAACCTTTAGAAAATTTAGAGGATTACTATTGAATTCATCAGACATTTACTAAATACTATATATCTCTGTTTACATACACATTTACATATGTGTATGCATGGTCATATGCACATGTGTGCATATGCACACATATGTACACACATGCAAACGCACATATAGATGTCTGTGTGATTGCACACGTATGCATGCGTATACGTGTGTATACACACGTATGTTTTGGGGTTGGAGGAGGTATAAAGTTTATATAAAACATTGTTCCTGTCTTCTTTGAGCTTACAGTCTTCTAAGTGTGTATAAATTACAGATAACTGGTGCTTAACATAGGTGCTTAAAAAGCAAAAAAAGTGCTGCATAAAAGCTTACAAGACATAATTGCTAGGAGAATGAGGAAAGGTTGCATGGAAGATATGACATGTTTCAGATAGATTTTTCTCTACGAAAAATTTAGGTGGAAGAAAAGGTGGTAGCAACATCAAGGGATCCTATAGAGGCGAGAGAAAGGAGGATATAGCCAATCCTGGGGGAAAAGGAAAAGGCATGAACACAAACTGGAAACCCTGCTGCATGGGTCTACAGCCATACCACTGAGCACTTAATTATATGTGGTTTTTTATTTACTATAGTTTTGTGAGTTCTGTCTCTCCAAGTAGAATGTAAGCTCAAAAACAACAACAAAATGCTGCCAGTCTTTGGTTTAGGTAGTTGTGAAGCAAGCAGTTGCTTCAGGTTGTGAACTGCCACAATAGGTAAAGTGGGCATGAGAGCTTTTGAATTTTTATCAGTAGCCTTTCCCCACAAATGTAGTATTATCCTTGATCTGACATCATTAGAAGAATATTTAGAGTACATAATTTAAATTGCTTCTTCAAAATGATTTTTATTGTTCTATTCATTATAAAATGAATATATACATAGGGAAAATTAGATTGGTGAATTGACCTTGTGTTGTCTTTCATTTTATTTGTCCTCTACTGAGAATATTGTATCAGAGTAAAATTCATTGGTGTTTCTAATTTTAGTTCTTATAGTGGACCTGGAGATGTTGGATGGAACACAACAGTATTTGTAGAAGTGGAATTATGTCTTTAGCCCTTTAAAATGATATTTTAGTACATTTTTGAAAACATTCAAATGTTAAATTATCTTAATAAATTCTATTAAACATTGACTTACTACAGAATTAGAAGGTAGAGTTTTTGAATGTAGCAACTCTTAAAATTACTTAAGTCAGACAACAGGCATTTATTTAGTACCTACAGTGTATTTATATGATGATTAAAAGGTTCTTTGGGAGGAAGAGTACTAGCAACTAGGAGGATCAGAGAAGACTTTTCATGTAGCTGTCACTTGAAGGATGACACTCCAAGAGACAGAGGTGAGGCAAGGGAGTACATTTTAGACATGGGAGCAGCCTAGTAAAAATGCACAGAGATGGGAGAGCGGGTGTCATGTATGAGAAACAGCAAGAGGGCTAGTATAGCTAGTCCTCAGAGTATATGGAAGGTGGTAATGTCAGTAAAGGCTGGAGCAGTAGGGAGGGACCAGAAGGTAAAGGATTTTAAATGTCAAACTAAGGAATGAAGGTGTAGTAGTCTCTGCTAATAGTAATAATCTCTCCAATGAAATAATAGACCTTTTGAAGTTTGAAATATCATATGGCTAAACAATTGCCTTCAGACACTTTACATTCCAAAACAACGAGGGAAGAACGTCAGTGCTTAGTGCTTATTGAGCTTTCTGTTTACTCAGTAATAAATACATAAGCCTATCAAAGACTAAGGAAAACTTTTGGTGGTGACTCAACCTTATTTGAAAACACGGGAATTCAGTGTAATTTAGGGAATAAAAGTGACTTGGCACTTAAGCCTTTTCTCACCTTTCTGTCTCCACAATAGGAAGTTAGGGGAGAAATGAAATTTACCCATATATAGACTGAAATTTCCAGCAGTGTGTAGTTGGGAAAATATTTGGAAGTTTTTCCTTAACTAAACCTGTTTTGTCTATGCATTGAAGACATCAAATTGTTTTAAAACCATATCTAAAAGATTGAAGTATTTAACTTCAGAAAACAGAAGAAGCACCAGGGGATAGCTGTAAGGCCTTTGTGTTTCTCTCTGCTTTTTCCTGAATGGCATTCTGTGCCTCCCTACCTTCTCTCCTCAGGAGGGATGTGCAAGAAAAGGAAGGAGAGAAGTGGGGGACTACTTCT